ATTGAACGCGGTCAGATAGAGTGGGTGTCGAGGCTTGAGGACTGATCTGGAGATTCCTGAAGATGTCGGCACCATGTGACGAGCAGATGCTGCACGCAAAACCGATGCATGACGAACGGAGTCATCAGTCCTAAGTGCTGGGCCTACAAGGAGAGAGTTATTAATGGGGTGGGGAGAGGGGGAAGAAAAAGTATGTGAAGGAGAAAGAAGGGAGGCGTCAGCAGTAGCCTGTTTTCGCTTACCCGCCCTGCTGTATGCAGCAAGTAAGGCGACCCGGCTGATGGCACCACGCGACGGCCGATGTGGCATGAGAATATTGTTAGTTGTGTAGGTCATGGTTGTACGAGGGCTGGGATACTGCCAGGGCGCCCACGACAGGACAGGAGGACGATTAGGGTCCTCAACCAAAGCCTTTGGCTCAAAAGCCTAACCGCAAGGCAGCGGTGTTTGGCGGGAAATGGCATTACCACGGAGGGCCAGGAGACTGTGTTCATCGGACCCCTTACAATTGACCAACCTGGTATGAGAGACTATGTGAGTGTCGCTGGGCACTCTCCAGTATAGCTCAATGGATCGCTGAGGTGCGCAAACCGTCACACCACGGTAAGGTCCAGTCTCTTCATATAACTATTGGACCTGTAATTCAGTGTCATTCATTATCAGTCTTGCTGGAAGGTACCGAATTACTATGATAAGACCATAAGTGGGCACCCACGCATAGTGCAGGCATTAAAAAAAGAAAGCCTCGTTTACATCACTTTGCTGTTAAAAGGTGGCGCGAATGATCGATGTATACAGCATCGGAAGATCAGTTAAAGCTGAGAAGATTGAGACACTTAATATCAGTCAGCATTAAAACCAGCCATCTCTTCTCTGAATCAAACTGAACCTGACATTCATACCACCACCTGGATTTACCGTTTTTAGTGTACTTTTGGTAGCAATAGACGATAGTCGTCTGTCAGAATTTCCGAACATATTTCGAAAGATTTTGCACCAAATAGTGTTGAAGTACCAAAAAGTTCAATTTCACTCCTAGTTGACCGTAGTCAGTGAACGGAGTTCGGAAGTCCGTTTGCCTGACCGACCCATGGCGTAGCGGCCGTTTATTACAAGTTGCTGAGTTTACAGTTCCCCGGCGTATTCATCCCAATGTGTTTAAGCACTTATACCGCCTTGGCAATACCCATGCAATTTTCTGATTGCTTATGCATGCAAACTGCCTGCTTCACGTGAACTTGGGTCGTTAGTCGTCGCAGTGATTTTACGTGGCGTGTGTCCTACTTGTTTAATCTTGAATGTCACTAGATTTCAGGTAAATGACTGACGGCACACGAAATAACGTAATTCCTCTCATTCATCGGCGGTGTCGGTTCCTCTTGTCATAAAATTCGTAATCAGAATTGGGTGTGTGGATGTGAGCTAACCTTTGCCAGTCTGTTCTGAAATTCGAGCGCTATCCTGACGCGCTTCTTTTCAGTCGTTTGACTAGCAGTTTTCCGTGTGAGTTTTAGCATATTCTTCAATTTTCCGATGTAGGAAGATCTGAAGATAGTGGTGTCTGGAGACTCAGAGACGCCACACCAATTTCTTCAACTAAGGAACTGCCGGAGTACAGCTTAGCCAGTTTAGCTTCAATGGGCGAGCACGGTTCTGCTGAAAAAGGGGATTCCAGTTCGTCCACGAATAATGTCGCTGTACGTGAAGAAGAGCTAGATTCAGTGGTTTCTTTGAAGGACGAAGATGAGAAAGACGGCCAGTCTGGTCCAGGAACTCAAAGCGCTGAAACCTGTTTCTCAGAGAAGTCACCACCACTGTGTCCTAGGAGCCTGCTGGTTGACCGAAGGATAACGGTTCATTTGTGAATGATGTCAGCACCCTCAGGCCATCAGATGCCCNTCCATAATCGTCCGGATCTTACAACCACTCTACACAGAAGCTTGCAAATTAGCTGAATGATAACGCTTCATTTGTTAATGATGTCGACACCCTCAAGTCAGTCAGATTTCCAGAATAAACCGGTTTTTCTGAGAGGAATCACTACCGAGGTGAGTGCCTCAACTGCTACATATTACGCAGCTGCTTCCATGACAGCCAAGAACTAACATTCCTCCTTAGAGTTACACTAGTAAAGAGGAGCATTGTTCCTAATTTCTCCAGCTGATTATTTTCTCATATCATCATTTTCCAGTCGTTGGCCTCCAACGCCAATGTATTGGTGGGCCGCCAAAACGTTTTCATTCTTATTTATTGGCATTATTTACACACCTTCTTGGTTGTATTGGCTCTGATGGAAGTATGTCTGGTGAAGTTGAAGCGTCAATCTCGATAACATTTTTCAACCTGTCTTTAGGGGTGTTAGAAAAGCTTACCTTCAAGTCCTCAAGGTGGCGTATACAGACCAAATTACGGGCTGTGTTGCTGTATGGTTGCGAGTGCGATCTCTGCAGACAGATGATCTGAAATGTTCTCATCTTTCAGAGACATTTATTGTATCGGATGACGTCAGCGGGTCCGTAACGAGGTATTTACGAAGCGGGTGTAGCAGGTACCTTAGACCCGGTCAACTGAGGCTAACTAGTGTCAATGGTGTTCTTATTGTCAGTTTCTTCCCAGATTGTCTGGAAACGTGTACACTAGGTTGCTTCTCTTTTTCTTACTTTATGACTTCCGATTTATTGAAGTAAACTCAGTTGCTGTGTGTGAATGAAGTGTCGGTGTCGACCGCTGGATTTCCTGGACGATGGTAGAACAGGACGTATAGCTACCGTATGTATTCGACAGATTCGAATTAACACTGATCAGACAGTACTCCGTTGATTTAATACCTAGACACTTTGCCTTCCCATGTTTTTTCTGTTCCTGTTCTTTATGGCTTATCTCCATTCATTGTACACCCGTAATTAACGGCTCTTCTTCGTAGATCGACTCAACAAACAGCGCAGAATGTCGGGATCAGCTGTTGGACAGAATGTATGGTCTATGGGCACAGTGGGATCACTTCGTACGGTCAGCATTGCAGCTCAGTTCATCGCAAAATCTCACTGACACGGTAAGCTTCCATCATTCGGGCTTTGGAAACGAATTGGATGACCTAGTTATTTTGTGTCCCTCCCAACTTGCATGATCTCATATAGATAACCCTGTTATTTGTTTCATTGTGATGCGCTTTAGTTCGCTTGGTAATTCGCGTGAGATATGAGAAGAGTGCTTGTGTGAGCCAGCATCACATTGGACACCTTCGGTCGCATGATACACATACATATGCCTTATTCTCTTATCACTGCCACTTGTATCGGGTCGGGGTCAGGAACGCACAGGCTCATACTCGCCCTCTTCAACCAAACACCGGACAAATGATGTGGAATTCATTGTGGAAGCCAAGTCGCACCAAAGGGGAACAAATTCTTTATCATGCAAGTCTGGTGATTGACATGGACTAAGCAGGTTACTCCTGTTAGAATCAAGCGGGAGAATGTCCCAATTGAAGTGACGTGGAAACGTAGTTATGACTTTGGTTTACCTCACTCCGAGGTCTTTAAACATTTACCGTGCTTACAGTATGTACATTCCAGCCATCGCACTTTGTTCTTCTCTGTCCTAATCTCGAATAATGTAACTGAAAAGCTTTTCGCAGATTCCATGTTTTCACCATTCAGCTGGGCGCTTGTGTTTTTGCAGCCTCTGTCGCCTCTTATAGTTGACCATCGTTCTCTAGAAAGATCGGCATCTTTTGTGTTGCAAGGTTCATGCTCAGGCCTCGTGTTTACTCGCATACGGTTTTAAGCTCCAGGTTGTAAAGGTGGCCCTTTTATGGACAGAGATTTTCTGTGGTGTAAACTGCTGACAGGTCTGAGGTTTCCGGGTACAATGGCTTGTTTGATTTGAAGCGATATGATTGTGTAGATCTTGAATACTGAGCGAAATACACTTCATTGTAACGGAAAGCCATTCCCCTGACTTCTGTGGGTAGCTGAACGATATGAACTTTTAAAACGGTGGAGATCATGTAGCTTGTCTACTAGCTTACCTAACAGCTTGTCACCTGCTAATCTGTCGAGATTTTGTGCTGTAACATGGGACAACTTCTGTTGGATTTACATGGCTCCTAGGTTCGAATTTCGTACCCATTTGCCGTTCTCTCATATGTGTGCCGCGTTTGCTTCTCAACACTCAGCATCAGGCATGCTAGATGCATTGACAAGCCAACATGAGCAAAACGACTACCTCTTGCTAGTCAGCAGCTATTTTAGACAGTTGAACAACTCTCACTAGCGTCAGGTAATCTCCATTGAACACTGGTGCATTGACTTTTTCCGTCAGACTTATCCGGCCTTTAACGTGTTTCACTAACCAGCCAATATATGTTGTTTATTGCCTCACTGTTGCCTTGAATTTTCCTTTTGAGGTACACTACTTATCTATTCTGGCCAATTATTTTCCATCTTCAGGATCACCTGCCTTCATCCACCTCAAAACATGCGAAATCAGCCTCGTCACATCCAAGTAATGGGCTACTGAGGTCGAAACCTTTGCTTCCAGCTGCAGCTGTTGGAACCACCGCGCGTACCTCATCTTCCAGCTCAGATCTCTTTGTACCCCGATCGCAACGCTCTGTAAGTGGAAATTTCAATGTGTTAGCCGTATTTTATTGCTAGTGCAGCTGAGGTCACCCGGTTGTTTTGCGTTTGCGGACACCAGAGGCAAGGTTGCTGTCGAGGAAAATGTCAACAGTTCAGGTTGTCCACTTACTTGGGAGTTGTTCTGTGCGCTGAATTCGGACAATTTTCCTCAATTCGTCAACGAGTCGATGATATCACCTCACTTCATATGCCGAGCTCAGCCGACAAACCAACGATCCGAAGCGAGGGTGTTCTTCAACTCTATATATGCAGCGGTTTTGTATTTGGTATGCTTGTTCAGGCCTATTCTCTGCCATTCGCTTGAAGCAGTGATACATCGCTAGGAACCAACAAGAATTATTCAGCTTGTTAAGTCCGGGCGAACTTCACGCAATCCTGATATCTGTTTGGTGCATGGACTCACCAGGTTCTATGCACACCTCTTCATAGTTTTTTAGCAGTTTCTGTTCTAAAACTTCCCTGCGTCGTAGACTTTGTTGATTGTTTTTGTGTAATTTGCCCAGTATTCCCATGCTGCTAAGAGGTATATGCTTTGATTTTCCTTCCCAGCGCGCTGGTTGCCACTTCGGACGCATCCTCCCGTTGTTACCGGCGACAGCTCGGTCTTCAACTTCAAGTTCTGATTTGTTCCTGCCCAGAATGCCGGTTAGTATTCTGAAGCGTTTAACCGTGCTGTGTATATATTCTTCAGACTTTAGTTTCCAATCGACATATTCTACTTGAGTTTGATATAATGGTAGCGTGAGATAATTTATTAGGGGTATATCTTATTGCTTTATTCAAGGAAAAAACTCTAACATCGTGTGTTCGAACTCTGTTTTCACCCGCAGCGGGTTCGCCAACTAGCAGAAAGCAATAACAAATCAGATACTGTTTCTTCGCCATCAGCACCAGAGAGTTCACCTCCTGTAACCGGTGCCTCAGTGATAAGCAGTGATACTCCTCAGCCCCCAGAAGTCACTGACAGCGGTCCAAAGCAAACATCGCTATTGAGCTCGAATACAGGGCTTGTCTCAAAGATGTCAACTGTTCCTGAGACGAAATGTAAGTCGTCTTTCATTTTCATTTTTTGTCATTTTTGTCACATAAGCTTGTCCCACTGTTTTGACCATCACTGTAGCGGTAATTATCGCGTGATCTGCTCCGTGGTTGTGGCGATTAGGTGGATGTGTACTAATGCGGCCTCCACATAGGGAGCACGGTGTTTTGATTTGTTCTGTAAGTATCTCAGAGTGTTCTCGTTTAACCGTCCTCATTTTATGAGACACGACTTAGAAAGATTTGCCGTAGACAGGTTCCGAATAAGCCCCACAAAAATTCACACATAGTCCCTACCTTAAGCGTTCGATTACAGTTTTTTTGTCAAATAACACAGGAGATAAGCTTTTACACGGAGTCTAAGCGCTTCCCACATTGCTTTACTTATTTTCCCAATGCATTGCTTTCGCTGAAGACGGTATTAACGAGCACTTACTTTCGGCGCCACCCAGTTTTCATTCGAAGTTAGACCGGGAAAAACTACCGGTTTTCGTAACTATGGGAGGAACAATACAGCACTATAAGCCCATAGTGTACTTGGTTCCGTCCACCGTATCTCCGCAGCATTCAGGCCTACATATAGGTAGACACTTCGGCTGGTTACTTATCGAGACGGTATGAGAAGTACTCACAAGGTTTCTGAAACATCTTCGAGTTTCTATCAACCGTATGTTGTATTTCTCGAAAACAGTCGGATTTGGGTTCAACTAGAGCATAAGGTTGATGGAAACTCAGGGACTGCGCCTACCTGATGAGCCCCAAAAAGGGCGAAACCGGTCGTGGGCTGTCGAAGAGTTTTCACAACCTTGTGAGTAGTTTCCTTTATGAAATTATACTGCGATATCTCGAACGTCGTGCCAACTGGAACATGAGGCGGTCATTCAGTTGTAGAATATCATACTTCATTTGAGTCTCTCGTGAAAACCAAATTGATTTGCAAATTAGTGCATTTCTCGAGACGGTATGGAATTTCGTAATCTCACCTACTTCTTGAAGTATTTCTTATCTGTAACCAAAGCTTTAACCCTATTTACGATTGCCGGGACCTGTCGTTTGGTGAATGAGCTTTCGCATGAATGCTAGTCTCATTTCCGGTGCTTGGTCTTCAGTGTAGATGGAAACGAACTGGAAGCAAGCGGATCGCTAGACAAGCTTGTATAGCACCAGCACTCCGGTGGATGTATAGACGCCGACTTACAGCTCTGTTTCGCATGTTCACTCAAGCGCAACGGTGTGTCAGGAATAAGTAAGGAACACGAGTTTTCCAGTAGAGATCCCGGACACCAGGTTTTGTGCGATCCTGAGCAATCGAGTTTTCTTGTTCTTGTGGCTTGTGTACTTAGATTTCACTGATGTGGTTACTTTGTCTTTTGTCTTTTTCTACATCAGTAACGTTGGTTCCTGAATCACCCGCTGAAGATACGGAAGATCAGGAGGTCATAAGGTGTGTATTACCCGCTTTCTCGCTGTTGTTTTTTGCTTATTTTGGCCCCACTGTTCTAATAGATTTGCTGTCGGTTCAAATCACATTTATGAAGGTGTAAGTTTTGTGGGCTAGCGTTCAATTATAATGGACTGTGAGCCATTAGTTTAATACGGCTGTGATATTAGTGCGGAATGTGAAACCATGAACTTAGTTGGGCAGAGTACATCCTCTTAGGGTATCGAAATTCTTTAACCCACAGCTTTGAACAGTTGAGGTGTGATGTATGAGTTCCCTACCTATCAGACCATATCCACGGGATAGGCGAGCTTATCTTTCTCACTCCTGTAGATGTTGGGTGAGTCTTGAACACCTGAACACTGTAGAAAGCTAGAAAAGCTGACAGGTAGTATTAAAAATCGCGGGGTTCTGGAGGAAAACGGAGGGACGAAATGTTCCCTTGGGTACCAGAATATTTTCTTTTTGTTGGAGCCATTGGAAGCGGATCGCACGACTGCGTCTCTTGGGGAATAGAGCAGAATGTGCTTGTTTGGAACAATAAGTAAGGTACTAGCGATCCACTAGGTATAGGAACTACGTCCTGATGATGGGAGACAGTCTGGACATCATCGGTAAGGTCGGAGGAAACAATGAGGTGCTCAAATTTTCGCCGAAATATTTCAGAGTTAAGGAGAAGAGATATGACCCAACTATAGACTTGCAAACGGTATTCGATAATGGCGTGAATCCAAGATTTGTAGTTTAAGGGCGGTTGAGACGGCCAGATTTCAGCGCTGGAAGATTCGATGGGCTGGAGATTTTGTAGGCAATTGAAGCTGAGTGGATTCAACTAATCGAAGAAATTGGGTGAGGTAGAGAAACTGATAAGAGGTGAATCAAAGTGGGCTAACCGAGAGTTGCCGTCACGGTCCGGACTCGGGGTTTCTGCTCTTGAAAAACTGTCACTCGGTTTCGAGTGCGTTAAAGCGCATGATCGATGTCGACGAAGAAGGAGCGGAAGACAGTAATCGATCCTTGTCGTGAGTAACTGGTGGAAAGTGATTTGGTTGAATTCGGGGCTGATTCGTTCGTGGGCACCACGTAGTCAAAGGATTTCTGCTATTCGGGAAATCGGTACTATAGAAGAACAGTTTGGCATCGGACACATTTGAAGCAGCGCCGTCTGCTGTCCGTGCGTCTCGTGTCCAACGCAAGATTGGTCCTCAGAAGCGATAAGTGTACCTACCTGATTGTTCATGCCATCAGCAGCCACAACGATGTTTGGACTTTTACTCTTTGTACCATATTGAGCGTCATAGAACCTGTCCGTCGGGGCGTAAGCCGATACAATAAACTGGTGACGATATACCCCTTGAGATTTTTTCACAGCGTTTCCAAACGAACCACGCAGAGACGACTACCATCGGGCATCCACTCAACTAGAGACGCCTTTGCTCAATAACTCAATACTCACTGCGGCATATTCAGCTGCAGTGGCCTTCGCGTCCTCAGAGGTATGGAGACTGATGCAGGAATAGAAAGGGGCAGATCAATTTAGTTACAATACTGGGTCCCGGACTTCCGTTTTTTTGACGGTTAATTACATCGACGTACAGGAAATCCAGTGTGAGAGCAAGAGCAACTTGTTATCCTGTTTCCTCAGTGTGTGGACACTGAAGGCAGCTAAGTCGACTTTAGGGTTTGGAGGACTGATTTCAAGGTGTTGCGGTTACTGAAGACGAATGCTCAGAAGCTGTAGCTGACTGCTCCGCAGAGAGGGTGTTCAGATTGGGGGGGGGCGGTAGCGTAGAAGAGGGAACGTGTGTTTGTATAAGAACGGGTCATTAACAATAGCATGTTTTCGTCTACTAGCTGTGCTGTGTGTAGCAAGCACCACGCGACTGCCGATGTGGTATGGCAATAATTCTGGCTGTGAGGTCCATGGGTTACGCGGCCTAGGATAATGTCAGGGAGTCCATAGACAGTACCTATTAGGGTCCTCAGCCAAAGCTTTTGGATCAAAAGCCTCACCACAAGGCAGCAGGTGGGTGCCGATATACTACCAGAGTGTTGCATGTTTTTTAGGACCAGGTTACCGTGTTCCAAACATTGTCTAAGAGGACTACGAAACTGTGTTCGTCAGACCTCTATCCACTGACAATCCTTGGGAGAAACTCTGCGGGTGTCCAGGCGAACCCCAAGAAGTACACACGACACCAAATCACTATATGCGGAGTCTTTCCATTAGGTATCCTGAATTTATTGTCATATACCTGTGTCGCAGCCCTTCACGAAGAATACAGGCGGGAAGAACGAAACATGCCCATTGTCAATTGCACCGCCAAAAAGAGACTGAACTTTGCCATATTGTGACGGTTTGTATACGGCCCACTGACCTTCCTGGTATGGTTGCACCTTGTGGAACGAAGTTCCATCCAGTGTAGCATGCAGGATCACTGCAGCACTCAATGTGGCAGCTCATGGTCCGGGAATTGAAGAGTACATTTGACTGCGTCTGATTAATCGGCACTGTTCACGTATTTGTTTGCCCTGATGCAGCGTCCAGACACTCAGTCTCAGGGCATTACTTTGTGGTTTCTCCATTCACCTCATACCAGTACCTTTGTACCTTAGATGAATCTTGATGAGTCGTTTATTGAGCTTGCTATCCTTTACGTATTTTTCTGTTTCTGGGGAAGGCGATTTTTGTATTAGAACCTAGCTCCGGAGAAATTCCTATGGTGATGCTGAAATGTGGTGACCTTGTCCAGCCTAGATCATCGGATGCACTACTTAGTCCTTGAAATCTCGTGGATCATTTGACCAAAGACACCGGCTTCTCGCTTAGGCTTCCCCCATTCCGCTGTCTGTCGTGCATATTACTAGACCCGGAGTAGCTCTGTTACATTGAAAACATAAAAGTTTTTGTGAAGCTTTCGTCCTCTAAGTGAAGCCAATCTTTGCTGAAAAGTCGAGGAGCACTGTGCTTTTTCAGCATAGATTGGCTTCATTTGCACAGGACGAAAGCTTCACAAAAACTCAAATCTCCTCACACTACGAGCGCAATAGTTCCGTTTGAATAAGGATAGGAGCATGATTGTGATGCAGCGTTTCGTTATCACCGACTCGTCTGATAGGGAGGGCTAACCGTACAGAGCAGAGCGAGACATCTTGTACGTGGCATCCTCCTAGCTTCTCATGTTTATTTTTTCTCCTTGCTTAGTCGTCCTCCACCGATAGTCGTACCGGAATCCACTTCCTCTTCTGCGAGTGTTGCCAGTCACTTTAGCTCTTCAGCATCTGAGGAGGCAGCGGAGCGAACTATGGTTGCATCTACTGCGTCGCACAGTGCTGTCACATCAGCCACCATTTCCGCCGTTGGAACACAAATCGCTCTGAGTAGCGACGAGGCACCTACCACAGGTTTGTCTTCCATTACGATTTTCACTTGTGTGTGTCTAATCCTATTAGCCGAGAACTGCGTTTGGATCACGCGTTCTTTCAGTATGATGAAGAGATCACTTTTAGGGAGTTTCATTCAAGCTTTCTGTACAACGCTTTCTATACACCAAACACATTGCTAGTGGGCCCCGAAACAGAGAACCAACCATCTTTATCGGTTGTTCCTAATGCAACATGTCATTGTTTGAAACCTGTATTTCGATTTTATTCTTGATTACTGCGCACTAATCACAAACCAAATTCGTTTCACGGCCAACAAGGGTTGCATGAAGTTAGATTTGACGGCGGAACCGTTTTATTCCTCTGCATTGGTGACCAAGCGGTTGTGGCAAAGTTGTCAAGGATGAACTCTTAATAGTGTCATCGGGAAGTTACCATTCTTATAGACATTTTCTCTGAATTCACTGTCCTAGGCTTAGACATTAACTAGAGTAGTCAATCGGCGACTCATTTCCCCTGCTTTTGTTTATCAGTTGATCGTTCACTTAATTTGTTCGAAGTTGTGGTTGCTGCGGTGGCTAAAATGTGTTGTTTTTTTATTTGGTAGGCAAAATCCCCATTTACGGTAGGTGGCACCGTCAACTCTACTACTATGCTGGGATCTTGGAGCTTCCACAACCCGGGTTCCGGTAAGCGTTTGTCCTGCTTTCGTTGATTTGAATGAACCTCCTAGCTGTCCGAATCCCAACGTGTTGCAAAATCTGTTTTACTCGTGATCGGTAATCATACCGTTTAAGTTCACAATGTATCCATATCCACTAGTTACCAGAAACTATAGGGGGTTTGGTTAACACTGAATTGACTTGTCCAAGTGCACGTAACATAACGAAAAGCACACTTGGGGACAGACTCGAACAGTTGATCCTCAGTGCACAGCTTCTTGCGGTCTCTTCAGAATCCACTGTCACTCCTGTATTCATTCATCACTTATATCGAGTGCCATTGTTTGGTGATGTATGCATATGCGTTTCTGCTTCATTGGCCATTGGAACCCAAGCGTCATTCAAAGATGAAGGGGAATTTTGTGTTCCGCCTCGACTGGGTTCGGAAACGATAGCATGTTCTAGAGAACTGGAGCCAATCAGTACTTATTCGCGTGTTCGAAAAAGGTACCCAATCCAACTGTACCAACCATAGGGGTGTAAGTCTCACATCTGCCGTTGTTGACTTTCCTCACATTGTGATACCTACCTCGGGCACTTGAGACGCAATTCTGAGGCGCTCAATTGGGATTCCGAACTGGTAGATGGTGCATTGGTCATATCTGTACACTAGGTCAAATGCTTGAGCAATGCCACGCATACCACCGACTAACAATCTGGATTTTCCTCCAATTTAAGCAGCCTTTGGCTCTAAGGATAGACTAGTTGCCTTACATTTTATGGGTCAGAAGGATACCCTTGAAGCTCGTAAGCACTTTTCGTTCCCTCTACCATAATTCCGGGTTTAGGTTGTACAATGAACTGTCCAGGAGCTTCCCGACGACTAGTGGAGTTCGTCAGAACTTTCATTTTTATTCAGTTTTGTTATCTGCTTTATCACAGAGTGTACACTCCAGGGGATCATATCTATGTCGAAATCACGTCTAGAGAAATATCAATAATCGAACTCATTGTGTTGTTTGACGATTATCTGTACAAAGTATCTTGAACGGAATATCAGAAGTAGCCCCATGTTTCAGCATGCCTTTTACCCCCTCAATTTGTAACGTCTCCGATCTAAATTTCCCACCTTATTGTGCTTCTGAGTCTTCAAAATGAAGAACCTGAGTTTGTTGATCGGTTCACATATCTTGACACCTGCAGAAGCTATGATTGTACCATAGCAAATAAAATGAATGTGTGGATAACGAAGGTACGCTTGTGTTCTCCAACTCGCTTCATGAATCGCGCCAGAAACGAATATCGCCTAGGCTAAAGGGTCGTGTATGCAAGGCAAATGTAAGAGCAGTATTAATTCATAGTCGTTACAATTGTTTCCACCTTTCCGGGGGCCTCGGGCGTCTTTGACCTCTGGTGGTTTGAGACCTCCCAGGAACTGGCACACAGCAGATCCCAGTGGCGCGCAGGACTGTCTAGCTAAAGGTTGTCTGTTGTTATGTACTCGACTTATATCGGGTGAGTTTCACAAATAGCTCTGGCTGGTGATGTCTTATTTCGACACAATGATCAGATTTATTTATTTCACTGCTGTCCAGATGCGTGGACACATTATTCTTTATTGGTTTCCTTAAGGACATAGAGCACTAAATCACTATCCTTCACCTTTCTTTTCACTCTTCACTCAGACCCTTCCCTCATGCTTCTATGACACTTAAGGTCTAGTGTCTATTACCGCTGTATCGCTGTCAATGATGACATCAATGGTAATGATGAAAAGGCATGGAAGACATATTACTGGCTACTCAAAAGTTTTTCAGGAACAGTTTTAGATGTTTATTGTACTCTGTTAGTTTCGACGCTTGTGGATTGCAATGTTACTCTTGCAGTGTTTTCTCCTATGTTCTTGAGTATTTTTTGGGGGAGGGGAGGGTTTGTCTATTGGGTTTGTGCCATTATGTAAACGTCGTATTGTTGAGAATGCTCTGTATGTGTCTGAGATCACTAATTCGGGCATTTGTCAGAAAAGTAAAGGACATTTTCTTCGAGTTCGTTATCAAGATGGATAATTTGCCAAAGCAATTTTTCATATTCTTCGCTTTAGTCGTTCGGTTCAATTCGAAGATGGTTCCCAATCTCGACTCAAACCATCAGATTTGCTGTACGTGAACCTTCTACCAGTTTCAGCAGAAGTAAGTTGTCATTTAGCGTACTGCTGGCGTGTACGACCAAATCCAATTGATCTCTACCGTAACTGTGTACTAACCTCGGGCGTTCCGCTCACATCGCCATATTCGTAAATACGATCAGACATTTCTATGCCTAACCTGAAACATGTGTTTTTCGGACTAGAGTGTGTGAATGGATAAATGTAGATTTGGTCCGTGAAGGAATGAAGGGACAAACGCGGCACTCCTGCGTTAAGCGAGCGAGCTGTGGCATCTCTTTCTCTTAGGAAGTGTACTAGGCTTTTTCTTGTACGACCGCGACATATAACTTATTCCACTGTCCTAGCAGTTTGACTCAGATGAAGACATGTGCATACTGTCGTCCATCTGTTACGACCAGATTGACTGGTGGTTACCCTGGGCGATCTTAAATTGTGGGAACTATAACAAACGCTCTCCTCGGCAAACGATGGTGAGAATCGTCTCCTCAAAGGCCTGGAAGTTGTAGAGGATGTTATAATCTGGCATCTGTCCGTGGATTTAGCTGTTTCATTTTAGCAGGAACACATAATTTGGCTTATGAGAGAGAAGGGCGTTGAGGCAAGGTCTGTTTCATCGTAGTTATTGCCACCCAAAAGAGATGGCTGCCCATCCCATAAAGTGCTGGTATCGGGATTTCGATGTGCAGATCAAAACTGCCTACCACGTATGAATAGCCGCTGAATGGAGACACTCTGTCGGCGATTTTTGTGTGTGATAGGTGAAAATAAAGCCTCCATTGTTTGACTTAGAAACAACCTACTTTATCCATCACCCTAGCCCAGTTTGGGCTCAGTATTTTCACTGGAAACTCCACTGCTTTGAATTTCTATCTACAGGCATCTGCTTGTGCACCCTCAAGTACCAACACACAAACTCCATCAGTCTGGAGCTTTTTGTTGGATGATGTTGATTGATTATTTGAACTAAAAAGCGTAATTAATCTCAACATGCTACTTTCATCACCTTGATGTTCATTCAAACGAATGAGTTATTCTCTGTTCTTTTCCCTGCTTTGTCCCTCGAAAGGTCTGCGCAGACTGGGATAACAACGGAGACTTTTGGGGTGACTGTGTTGTTGAGACGCATCTGATGGATTCGCGCCGACCCTATTTGATATTTTGCCGAACGAATGGAGAGCGAAAAGCGTGAGTTTTAAAACTTTTTTGGACTCGCTTTTCTTTGTATGTTTCTTTGTGTGCCCTCCCCAACCAAAGCAAGTGTTCCCTTCAGTTTGACTGCGTTTATTTCGGTTCACCCTTCTCACTTTCATGTTCTATTTGACTTGCCGAAACATCTTCCCGATTCAGGTGTCGACCGTTTTTTAAGCGAAGGTGATATGTGCTTTGGTCTCGTGTTCATAACACCTCCATCGTCTTTGCCAGCTTGTACCGTAAGACGAGAATAAGGAAATAGCTATTTGGCTCTCAATGGCTCTCAAGCTTGTACCGTAAGACGAGAATAAGGAAACAGCTATTTGGCTCTCAATGGGTATGTGTAACTCACAAGTCTCCCGTAGTTTCCCGTAGATGATGCCAGTACAGTGAACAGTAAGCCAGGCTTGGGAAGCATGTGAATGCGTGTTTTGACTAGATGCCCGTTAGATTCTGAAACATCGCAACGTTCATCATCAGCCAATTGCTGTGGTCTTTTTGGGCAGCGACTCCGTCGGTTGCCTAGGCTTTTGGAATACGTATTGAGATCTGGGCGTATTACGAGTTCTTGGCTGTGTTGAAGACATCATCACATATTATCTCAGCTGTAGTCAGGGTTCACTACCTCAATGGTTCCTATTTTCGAGCGGATTGCTGCAACGGTGCTTTCTATGCTTCGTTGTCTTTAACTTTGCTGTTGACATAGTCCAATGCAGATTAGTGGATGCGATGCTAGGGTACAACCTCCTTCGGGCTACCAGTCTCTAGGTGTGAGAGATACTGACTACACGATTCTAGTGTCAGAAGCCATGCGATTTGAACCGTCTACGATCGAGGGCCTGGTGTAAGATGTTCTCCACACTATCCAAGCGTAAAGTACTTTATCAACACTGACAGGGGTCGCGACCTAAAGTCACAGTGATGAAGCTGATAAGCTCGTTTGTCCAAGGGTTTGCATTACATATGATAGAGGTTTAGATCTATGATCTTGGTGCGGATCCCGAGAGGTAGGTCTGCGTTCACCAACCTGAAACGTCTGCAACGACAACGATACACTTGTTTACCTTAAGGAACGTGTCGTAACTGACGGTTTTTCACAGTCGCTTACCAGTCTTTGCTGGCGTCTGATGGCAAAGCAAGCAATTACGAGCTGTGTTTCGAATGGATTGGTTAAGTCGTATTTTCTTCATATCAGCGCAGTAGTTGTCGTTTTGAACGCCTTTCGCACGCTCTAGACCGTATTCGAAAGAATAATGGCGTAGTCAGAGAATAACTTGTCGAAAGGCATTAAAAATCTGACCGCCGGTTTGGCCTTGGCAAGTTCACCAAGGCTTTTGGCCTGGAAACCGAAAGATACTAAGATAGTACGATTGAAAACAATAAAGTCAACGGCCCAGCGTCGAACCTAGTGAAGAACTCGGACCACTTTAAGAAGCAAGTAAACACTGGTATGTAGTGGAAATTGAACAAAATATTGCTCGCCGACATTCGATATTGATCATTGCTCTTGGTTTTGATTTGTCTCCGCCCATGCCTCTGACGCTTGGTCTGTATAAACAGTTGTGAGCAATGTGCAATACATAATAGCCATAACTTGAAAGTGAATTCTGATATAGATGAATTCTATGTGTAAGTGACACCTACCCTGGATTGGTAGGAAGTTAGTGCTTGTTTGCGCACATTGTTATCCTTACTCCTGTTTATCACTCGTAGCTGTAGAAGTCGTCGTCAAGTATCTGAGACCTTGAAGTTATTCAGTTATGATGAGTTATTAGTTGTCCTTAGGCTTCTCAAGCGCGAGGAGTATAGCGACTGGCTACTTTTAGACCTCCGTTAACTGCCATATCTAGTATGCAAATTTGAATACTATGTCTTGCTATCATGTATCTCCCGTTCTCCGGTAATTAGGATAGTACGGCCTGATTTTTTCACGGTCTTCTCCGTGCAATACGCGACTTTATTCCACTTGTTTCCAGAATGGCCCGGAAGGATGTCACCATCCATCATTCTCAGGTGTGTCGCCTACGAGAATCGGGTTTGTTACCAGTTTCAGCTGATGCTGCCCCTGAGCGTCCCGGTGCTAGTTCCTCCACGAAGAACCAACCACCGTCCAAAAGGAAAACACCAAGACCGGAAGAGCAACTGTCACAACCATCGGGCGCACTCTTAGCTACTCCTGAGGTGGGTTTCTATCACACGAAGTACATTTCAGATCATACTTCAAGTTGCTTTCAGGCATATAACTTAACAAAATTGATGCGCCAAACTGATGGCTCTCTTGTGTTCATCCAGTCAATTCTACTTCCTGATAGGTTCCCCTTTTTCACTTCCGTTTTATTTTATCGATTTATATCTCGAAAATACTGGACTGAGTACTGTTGACCTCTGTTGGGTGTATGACAGTAAAGCACTCATGTTCTTCTCAGGTGTCAATGCTGGTGAGAAACGCTCTCCTTTGATGTACCCCTTGTGTAAGGAACGAGCGGTATCTTCGAGTGACGCGTAGTACCAGAACCTCCGGGTAGGCAAAACAAAGTCGGAGCTGGGTTTCTATACGGTACTATTAGGGTAAGAGAAATTCACAATTTGTACAAACTTCGACAGTAGATACGCATCCAAAACAAATAGTCCGCTTGGACTACAAAAGTACAAAGCAAGGGAGCAAACAGGCTCCCACGTGCGACAGTCACACGTGCA